GAATGTGTGTCCAAACCAGAAAGGCATGGCTGATGGCCTTAGACTTGTCTTAGCATCTTGATAGTAAGCTGCCCAAAAATCTCTAGGATGCCTTCTGCTCTCCCCATGCACCCCTCAGTGCTCATCAAGGTTCCCTGGAGAATGAGTCCCTAAGCCAGGTGCAGGGCTTTGGGGGCAAGACATTTTGACGGTTTTCATCCACTCTGCTACCTTCAGTTCAACAAAAACACATTCCAGGCTGCTTTTACCTTCAGCTTGTTTGCCATCAGTGGCGTGGATAAGGTGGGTGTGGCCTTGGGGCCATCCCTTACCTTCCCATCTCTACATTCCAATGCCACTCCTCAGGGAAACCTTCTCTCATTCCCCGGGACCTCTTAGAAACTGTGACTGTGACTCTATATGGGGCCTCACAACTGAATGTGAGTGTTGGGGCCATATAAATGAATGCGATGGCTGTGGAAAATATGGTAAAATGTTTGCAAGCATGCAATGACCAGATGTGTGAGGAACCTGAGGTACTTTGGACGTCATATAGCATCACCACAGCTCCTGTGCTGCACCCAGCATCACACTTGGCAACGTGTAAAGCTGATGCACCCTGGATGCTAGCCAACGCTGCTTGCCACACCTCAGCTCGCATTCGATTTGTTGTACATTACAATGCTCTTTTTTTAAACGACTTTACATGTAAAGACGTAATACATGGGTATTACGTCTGTGCATATGTATATATACCATGTGCTTGCTGGTGCTGGCTGGAGGCAGAGAAGGTTGTGAGCTGTCATGTGGGTGCTGGGAATCAAATCCGGGCCCTCTGGAAGAGCACCCAGTGTTCTTAACCACTGAACCACCTCTCCAGCCCCCTCACCGGACCCCTTCTCCTCTCTCATATACCCCAAGTGTTATGTGAAGTTTCCTGAACTTAACAGAAACATGATGACTTAATTTATAGAAAACTAACACTTTCGATATTTCCCTATCACCACTGTTTAGCACATAGGCCTCAGATTGGTATGTCTTCAAATAGGACTGTGTTAGAATGCTTAATTTTTAAATGTTGTTTGAGTTACTGACTTGAGTTCATAAAAAAATTAAATACGTTTTGGATTCAGACAGAATTTCCAGTAATTTCTGAAACGGCTCTAAACAGACTTCCGCCATTCTGTGCTCCCCATCTATGCAGAGTGGAATTCTCAGCACTGATGCTTACAAAATCAAAATATTGATCAACTGGACATTGCTGCAGATACTTCACACCCTGCAGTACTGAGGACGCAGCCCAGATTTAGTTTCCTATGGAAAAACAAACACATCCATTTGTTAGTATATACATCTGCTTTTGTCTTTAATAAATGGTAAAATTATATGTATCACACAGAATTTTAAAATGAATTTCTTTATGATTGTCAGCACACATTGGTTTTATATGCCTATTTAATACAACTATACACCTGGGGTTGCCTAACATTTTCCTAGGTAAGAAAGAGTGGTGAGAAGACAAAAGTTTAAAAGTCCTCCCTGGGGATGGAGAGTTGGCTTGGTCTTAGAAGCACATGCAGAGGACTGGAGTTCAGTTCCCAGCACCCAGGCCTGACTGAAACTGCCTGTAATTCCAGCTCCAGTGGATCTGATTCCGGCACCCTCTTCTGGTCTCCTTGGGCAACCTGTACAGATGTGTGACCACACACACACACACACACACACACACACACACACACGCACACACACACACACACACACGCGCGCGCACGCACGCACGCACCTTTTTTAGGATCTCTCTGGGATACGTTACACACCACCCTTGTCCCAGGTTCTCTAGGTAGCCAGTGACTGGCAAAGGTGAAGCTTTGGCTGCATGCCCTCCCTGATAACATAAGGGTATAGACCATGTTCAGCTGGTTCCCTGCCTCTCACCGAGCTGTGAACCTGAAGGGCATGGGAGGACTGATGAGAGGCAGGGTCTGAATGAGACCCGGCAAGCTGCCTTCTTCCTACTCCAAGTTCTTGTCAGAAATCCTGCTCCAATCCAAATCAAAATACATTTAATGATTTTTTAATGAACTCAAGTCAGTAACTCAAACCGCAATATTTAAAACCAAGCATTCTCTCCCTGCATGCTTCATGATGCCTCCAGATGTATTTTCTTTCCCGAAACTGGCAAATGCTCCTGTCAATCAGACAGTACCTAGCAAAATCCAGCTGTGGGCTCAGAGCCTTTGCCTTTTTCTGTTTGGGTTTTCGCCAATTTCACCTTTGCCCTCTGGTGAGTTACCCAAGGTCACACTGAGTCAGACAGTAAAGGCAGAAATAAAATTCAGATTAGCTGGCTCCCAAATTGATACCTGATCTAAGTGGAGGGAGCAGGTTTACCGCTGACTCTCTGGGAGTCTTAATAAAATGTAGGCTTATAAAGCCTCAGCTTCTCTGGTATTTAAGAGACAATGTGGCATAATAAGACCCACAGGAAAAGGTATTTTTAAAAAGGGATGGAAAAATACAAGGCGAGCCATCTGGATTTATAATTAACACAGCAAAGTGATTTGAATTCAATTCTGGATTGGGACTCTGTTAAGCTACAGAGTCGGTGAACGCCAAGGAAGAAGCAAGCAGCCTGTGTCTGATGGCTCGGTAGAGGGCAGAGCAAAGCCCGGAAGCCGCAGGAAAAACTAATGTCTTTGGCAGAAAACGCATGTTCTGCTCTCATGAGAAGTCACTTGAAAATGAGCAAGACCAACGAACGCTAAATTCCAAGTTACACGGCTGCATAGTGAGAGTTAACTGAAAGCCATGTCCCTATAGCCTGCAGCGGGGAGGGGCGGGAGCCAGGCAATTAAAGTGGAGAGAAAGGACTGGAAACTCGATGAGTCACAGGCAGAACCTGCAGTCTGGTGCTGGGAACCCCATAGACACTTCCAACCTGGGGCAGGATGAGCCAATGTCCCTAAGGGAAGGGGTGGAGAAGAAAAGGGAGACTGCTTAGACTTCCTGGAGTTCTCCATCCTTCCATCAGATGGGGGTGAGAAGGGAAAAAGTAAAAAGATTTCCAGAGTGATCCCTTCCTAGTCAGGGTTGTCCCTCCCTGTATGTATTACTCACACTTAACCTGAAGACTCATTGTCCCCTTCTTACTTCTTTGGTATCTTCAGGTCTTTACCTGTTGCCCCAAGGGACACCATAAAGTTGTATCACCAAGGTTCTCGGGATGTATAGTGGGAAGAGATTTTTTTTTAAGAAGGGCTACAAATAAGTAACATAGGGGTGCTGGAGAGTGGCTCAGTGGTCAAGAGCTCTTGCTGCTTTCTGGAGGACCCGAGTTCAGGCCCCAGCACCCACATCAGGTTACATCACCCATTAACTTCAGTTCCAGAGGATTCTACTGCCCTCTTCTGGATTCTGAGGGCACCCGAGTATACGATGCATATATCTCAACACAGACACATAAATAAAAATAAATACTAAACACTTTCTCAACACAGACACATGAATAAAAATAAATACTAAACACTTTACACACACACACACACACACACACACACACACACACACACATACACACACCACTTTGCTGAAGTTCCCCACCAAAACAATTTTTGTCAGACATGGTGGTTGATGTCTCTAGTTACTCCAGAAGCTGAGGCAGGAGGATTTCTTGAGTCTAGTGACACTTTCTTTGCTATCTTTCATGCCCTTTTATGTTTCCTCTTTTTCTGAAGGTATAATTTCACTGAGAAATTATCTTAAGCAAAAGCATGTGTGTATATGCATGTGTGTGCATGTGTGTGTGCATGCGTGTGCACGCAAGTGGAGGCCTGTCAGAGGTGGGCCTCAAGGTGTCTTTCTCTATCAGTTGCCACCTTATTCTTTAAGGCAGAGTCTCTCATTGAACCTAGAACTCACTGACTCAGCAAAAGCAGATGATTAAAGTCTCCCTGCTTGAAGGGCAAGCACTTTCCCAACTGAATCACCTCGCCAGATACCAAAAATATTTTTAAACATTTGTTTTTATTGTTATTGTGTATGTGTCCATCTCTCTGTATGTGTTTGTGTGTGTCTGTATGTGTGCATTTGGGGAGGTAATGAACACAAAAGTGTAGATGTCCATGGATACCAGAGGCACTAGATCACCCTGGAGCTGGAGTTACAGGTGGCTGTGATCTGCCCAAAGTAGGAGCTGTGAACCAAACTCAGGTCCTCTGGAAGAGTAGAGGGCACTCCTAACTGAGCCATCTCCCCAGGCTCCCAAAAGCATTTTTAATATTAAGAAAAAGCAGATTGGACATGGTGGCATATCCTGTAATCTGATGACTGTGTTAGCAACTTCCTTGGGCTATGTACAAAGTTTGAGGCCATATGGACTATTTAGTAAGACATTATCTCAAAATAAATAAAAATAAACAAAATGAAGATGAATAAAGAAGATGCTCTTTCTCCATGGAGAGAAGGAAATGGGAAGAAGCATGCTGCAGGGACCGTGGACGATTACTTCTCAGGTGACTCCACACCCTAGCTGAGCCAGCAGAAGGACCTATGAAGATGGTATGCTTACCACCAACCCAAGTTCAACTCAACTTTTATCACAATGATGCTTACTATCACTGAGCGTTTGGACAGGAAGAGACGGTCTTAGGGGGTTGACAACCTGGCCATGGCCACAAGCAGGGGTCCATCGTGCTGCCCTTTGTGACAGCTGGAAATGCTAGTGAATGGAAGCAGCTGGCACACCCCCAGAACCGACCCTCTGGGTAAGGAGCCCTGAGGGAAGGACAGTGTAGCCACCAGGACTTGATCTGTTCATAATTCCTAACAAAGCTGAGGACATGACTTCATCCCCAGGTTATCTGATCAGCTATTGCTCACAACAACCTAAATAAAACCAAGAGTCGGCCCTGGAGTGAGACCCACGGGAGATATGGGCAGCAAGCTACCAGTGAATCTATGAAGTTAGAGGAAAACTCCAGTTGGAACTGAGACCCAGAAATTAGAAACACACACACAAGCAGTCAAGACCTGATACAGAAAATTTTAATCAACAATTGTGGAAACAATACACTCAGACATTAAATATCAGAATTCTCCATCATGACTGCCACCACCACCAGTCTAGAAATAAAATAATCCATTAATCTTAACAGTTCCTGGTGGGAGATAAAAGACTTAGGAAAATGTTTTCCATAAACACATTTCTTTTTACCCTACCTAGACTCCACACAGGGAAAAGACAAGTTTGTACTCAAGGGAATTTATGCAGCCAGCTTTGTAGCACAGGTCATCACTATGAAATGGCTCCCATTACTCTCCCCACACCCTGGATTTGATGAGCAGAGGAAATGATGCTCTACTGTACACTTACCAGACAAAACAAGTCAAAGTTTAACATGAGTGAATTCTATGTTGTTATAGTTTAAAACATGTATCAAAATCACATCTTCCTTGTAAAGAGGGCTGGCAGTCCAACAGCAACAATGCCGGGTCCTTAGGGCAGCGGCTCTGTGACTTGCCCTGCCTTCCTCATGCAAACCAAGGAAGGAGACTGATTGTACAGACTGCCTGCCTTCTCAGTCACCTCGACAGGGATACACAAGTCTAAAAGAAAACAACCCCAACTACAACAGCCATTCCATTCAAGTATTGAGAGAAGTGTGCATGGAAAACTGGGGGACAGCCTGAAAAGAGAGACCCCAATACTTTGCATGAACATAGCTAGAGGAGATTGCTGGACCTTGAACACTTAATGACTAACACTGGTTTTTTGTTTTGGTGAGCAGGTAGGCAGCGTAGCCAATTTGCTTCCAGGCACTTCTGTAGTAACCACTGTTGGTTTTAAAATGTATATTCTCTATCCTCCTTTCTTAAACCAATGGTGGACCTATACATTGGAGCCAGGAAGTCATTATTGCCACAGTGCCCCAAGGTATTATGCATACAGTTTCCTGTGTGCTGTTTATGTACAATCCACTGTACAATTATAAAAGGGTTATTATGAAAATCTAGTGATGGAGGAAACTGAAAGAGTCGCCGTCCCTCATCCTGTCCCACATACATATTATTTGTAGATGCTCCCTGATTCAAATGATTGAAGAGAATACAGGCCGGGCACCAGAAGCTAAATTGTGCTCACGTTCTCTCAGCCAAAGCCGGGTGGGGATAACAGAGACAAGATACGGTATTAAGAGTTAGCAAGAGGTGCTGGTGAGGCTTGGGGACTGATCTTTCCCATGAGGAGTCGGGAAAGGCAACGCTGGGAGGACAATCAGCACTGTCCCGGGGTTGTCTAACCTCTGCTAGAACACCGATGGCAGGGAGCCGGTGCCTTCATCTTCATCTTCAGGACAGCACAGCAGGCAAGCGGAGAGGCACACAGAGCCATGAGCACAACTCTAAGTGATACAGTTGCTCAGGAGCTGGGAGCTGCCAGTCATCACTCTAAAGAAACCAGACATCTTCCCAGCATCCCATGCTCTCCATAATCATTCAAAATGGAGGTACCCAGCTACTAAGACATGTGGATCTTAGGGGTCACCATGGAGCAGCTACACGCGTGTGTGTGGGGGGGTGTCTGTGGACAGAGATAAAGCCTCTTAGAAATGATCACTGCAGGGCCTGGAAAATAAAGAGAAAATAAACATCTTGGGGCAGGGACCACAGAGCAATGGGGGCTGAACTGTGAGCTCATGACCACTGGCAGCCATGGTCAGCTCAGCTGTGGGAGGTAGGTGAGAATGGTGTGAACAGCTCTGGGCTACAGCCCACCTTCCTAAAACAGTGGGAAGCAGGCTCTGTCTCTCTTCTGCTAGCTTGTCTGCCAGCGTGGCAGACCATGTCTTTGTTTCTTCTTCTTGGAGCACCAGGGGCTGTTTCAGGGTTTTAAAGCCCCCTTCAGAAGACCAAAAAAGGGACGTGCTCACTGACAGACAATACTGCCAAAACTCACTTTGTAAAGGGACTGATCATAAATGTGAACTTTAAAGACCACCTGGTCTTGGTAATGAGACTGAACCCATTGGGTTTTAAGTGGCATCTTTCATTGCTGTATGTTAAAATAGCAACAGTGTTGGTCTTTAAGGAAACTGTAACGGACAGAAACAAGGACATGTGACAACCTGACAGCCAGGACTTCTTTATCTAAGGGATTGCAGCCTTTCCTGCATCTGTTTCAAAAGTACCCAAGGTTTCTATTCATCTGCTAGAAGACAGGGGGCCAAATCCTCCTGCAATGAGAGCAAAGCTTTGACCACTGAGCCTGGGAAGCGGGGTCAGTGAAAGTCTATCAAGTACTCGGGGTAGATCTGGTTGGCATCAAACACCACAAAGATCTTTGGGTTCCAGGTGTCATCCACACAGCTGTCATACAAATTCACATAGCTCCCATCTTTGGAAGGAGGTCTCATGTATTTGGAGTCTCCGTTTATGTAATCCCCAATTAGCACTCGAGCAAGAAACATGGATTTATAGGTTCTGAACAGATGTCGCTGCTGTACGCTGACCCCGTGAATCTGGAATGTGTTACCATGCTTGATGTCATCTTTGCAGAAACGACTGGAGTATGCAGCATCTCTAGCGAAATACGTTCCTTCAACAGAAAGGACCAAAGTTACTTTGGAGAAAACAACAAGTGCAGGGGACAACATTCTAACTGACAGGGACAGATATGGGACCTCCTCCTCTGAACACCTAAAGAACAGGACACAATTGCCTAGGGAGGCAGCTGTGGGTATACCAGGCCTCACCAGTGTCCTGTGCCCTGGACAAAGTAGGTGCCACAAAGTAGGTGTTTCCAAAAGAGAGCTTGCAAGAAAATCCAGCAAACAAAACACAAAACCATTCTGTGGTGAGACGTGTGGCAGATCTGGATTTCACTAGAGACCGTCCTCCACAGCTGTGTCCTTCCTTGGCCTCCTCCCTGCAGCCCTGACCCAGCATCCAGCATCCAGACAAGCTCTGAAGAATATGGCTCTACCTGAGGAGCTCACACCCAAGAAGCTGCTGGCTACAACATAGGGCAATCTAGAAGTAACTCTAGAACCAGGACCTACACTCTGAAATGAGACTCTGAGACTGGCTCTTCAGTCTCCCTGGGGCCCGTGTGTCACAGGCTTAGTCTTCTGGAAGCTTGGTGCTAATGAGAGGTGTGGGGACTTTAGAGAGGATGTGCCCTTAAGGGGGGGTTATGGACACAAACCTCCTTCCTCAGTTTTCTCGCTCCGGCAGCAGTTAACTTTGTACGACATACTCTGCTGTGATGGCCTCAAAGCAGGCTCTGCTGTGCCCAAGGGCACAAACTGAAACTTCTAGTCAAGAACGTTTCCTCTTTTGAAGCCACCTTGGGTGTTTTGTTATCATAAGAGGAAGCAAATGAGCACATCTATTCCTGCCTGAACATTCCAGAACACTGCCAGTTATTGTCATGAGCATTCAAAGCAGCCAACTCTCTGGAAATGACTACACAATCAATCAAGTAACTAATTCTAAATAATTGGGACATGAATTGCAAAGTCTCATAACCACCCAATCTTGATGGAACTGGTGTCAGACTTTTCTGACCTCTTACAGCTAAAGTGAGCAGTCTTTTGAGTACTTATCCTTAAATTAATTCACTGCTTCGGAATCAGCACCTCCTAATCCCAAACGGGAGCCAGCTCTCTTGCTGGAAGTGAGACACGAAGGACAGGACTGACTGTGAGAACAAATGCCTGCCCCGTGCCCTCCTCGGCTCTCTCCCTGTCTGCTTGAGTCATGCTACCGAGTGGAGACCTGGGACTTGCATAGACTCAGAAATAAGGTGGAGCTTTGCCCATTTTTCACTTTAGTGCATGCTGATACTCTTACCTATCATTTTCTAACAAGCAAAGCCAATCAAACAAAACCCCAAAACCACTAGTCACTGCACTAGAGTATACTTAACACGTTTCTATCACTGTGCATTTGCTGGGCAGCAGTTCACTGTGTAGGCCTATCCACGGGAAGGGCTGACTCACACACTACAGACATTCACAGCTTCTTTAACACAGGGCGCCGCACCAGGATGCCCAGAACCCAGGAAGCTACTGAACGTGCAAGTCTTCCTTCCACCTTGTCTGAAACTCATAGCCTGGTAACTTTTAGCTTCATCACTCCAACTCTGAATCATAAAGCAACCAGTTTTCCCTAAAGAGAGGGAACTCTCCCCTGTGACTGAACCTGGACCTGAGACTCAGATATTACCTTTTCCAAAGACAGCGCCGTGTACACCATTGATTCTCCAATCAAAGTTGTGAATGCAAATTGCTTCCACAAATTCACTGCTGGTGCCATGAAACAGCATTTGCTCATTGATCTGAGGGACACCTCTCTTTTTCTTGAGCTGAGCCTTTTTCCTAAAATCAAAAAACATCCAGATACAAAACCACAGAAAAATATACCGGTGAGTGGTATGTATTAATTTAAAATGCTAATGGGCAAAGTTCATTAGAAAGGGTGAAACAACAATATAAATCATATAATATAAATGAAAAGACAGAGAAATCCCAGCAAATAAATTGTTTCAAATGCTCTTGAATACATAAAAATCATCTCATCAAATATAACAGTTACCAACTAGGTGTGGTACTTAATGCCTCTATTCCCAAGGTACAAGAAGGAGAGACAGAAGAATCAGGAGTTCAAGGCTATTCTAGGCAAAAAAAAAAAAAAAAAAAAAAAAACTGAGGTTAGCCTAAGTTTCATGAAACTGTTTTTAAAAAAAGGCACAAAACAAAAAGTATAGCTAGCATCGACACCAAAGACTGAAAATTATATCCAAAAAGACTGGGCATACATCTCAGTGGCAGAGTGCTTGTCTGACATGTGGGAAAGCCTGGGTTCTATCCCAGGAATGTGGAGCAAAGAGGAAAAGAGGAAGGGGGTGGGGTGGGCACAGCTGATGATCTAAAGCAGCTAAGCATCGCAGATGATCGCAGATGAGACATAAACGAATAATACACAGTTCTTCCATAGTCAGACAAAGAACTCTGAGTGGGGACCACATTTATTCCACATCAGCTGACAGATCTGAAGTTGAAGGAGCAGCAAGCTCCGCTTTAACATCTCCTCAGTGAACAAATCTTCAGTGCATCACAGATGGAGGAATGGCCATATCAATAATAGAAAAGACAAAATCAAAAGCCTAAAAAGCTATCATAGAAAAATGGCTGCTTAGCTATTTGCTTAAGAAAATTAAAAGTAGGAGCCAGGTATAAAAGTTGTCTTTACTTCCAGAACTTTGTGAGTTTAAGGTCAGACTGGTCTACACAGTGAGTTACAGGCCACCCAGGGCTACAGAGTGAGACCCTGTCTCACAAAAATAAAAAGCTAAATAAAATAAACTAGGTCTAGGGGCACTGTAAATATAAAAGATAATAAGCCTAAATAGAATTTTGTAAAAATCAATGTATTTCTCAGAATACTGTGTATTATATAGATATGCACACCCATGAAGTAAGAACACAAAACTATAGGCAAGTTGCCCTTTCTGGTTTTGAATCTTTCCTGAGTGTGACAAACAAACCTACACTTTCATTTAAGTGCATGATAATGTTGAAGAAGCAAGCAAAAGCTTGACATTCAAGTCACTGCAAAAGACTTCTAACCACCCTACTCAGTCTCTTTGTACCATTGCCTGGAACATATCGTTTCCATCATAAGAAAATTTCTCAACCACTTTAGAGAGGCTGAGTTAAATTATCCAAAAGGCTTTCCCAGACAGCACAATGGTAAACTTATTAAGTTTGGTATTCATTAGTCCATATCGTGGTTGCTGTTTTGTTAAAGCAAACACCCGATTAACACATTTACTTCTAAGGACAAGTTTTATGAGTTGTAATGACTAGATTCCATTCTAAAAGCCAAGATATTTGGGGCTAGAGATGGCCCAGACACTAAAAGCACTTCCTGCTCTGCTGAGGACTCAGGTTCTGGTCCTAGCACCCCACCAGATGATTCCTAACCACATAAATCCGGGTCCAAGTGCTCTGATGCCCTCTGGCCTCTAAGGGCTGCTTATACTTGTGGTGTCCATTTTTCATGCAGACACAAACATTTTAAAAAGATGCTCACTTGTCATTATGTCCCAGACACAGGTTAAAGTGAATAATAGTTTGGAATGTGCATCTCAAAGGTATTATAAACGATGGGGTAGAGTCTAGTGTGGAATATTCCTTTACCATGTGTGAATATATGTCTCTGTGATTGGCTTAATAAAGAAGCTGACTGTCCAGAAGCTGAACAGAATAAGGTTAGGAGGAGAGCCAAACAGAGAATGCTGGGAAGAAGGGCAGAGTCACAGGAGTTGTCAAAGAGACACAGGGGAGCAAGACATGCTGGAGGACAGGTAAAGCCACGGGATGGCAATACATAAACAGAAATGGGTTAATTTAAGTTATAAAAGCTAGTTAGTAATAAGCCTGCGCTATCAGCCAAGCATTTAACATTTATATGAAGTCTCTTGTGGTTATTTGGGAGTGACTGCTGGGACACAGAAAAACTCCACCTACAGTCTGGCACTGAGCATCAGTAGGCCATGAAACACCGGATGGCTACTGGAATTGAGGGAGCACATACACCAGGCGGAGGCAAAGCAGAGCTAAAGGTTTGTACCCCTACTAGCACACCCAGGAAATGTGGGCTCACAGACCATGCCTTTGGTCTTCCAGAAACCTGACTCTTGAGTTACATTTGCAAAGAAAGACCTAAGGCAACAGTAAATGCTTCCAAAATCTGCCCACTGGATCGGAACACATTCATTTCTCAATCTACACAAAGTACCGTGACACCAGCTCTCAAAGATGTGTCAATAACCCCATACAAAGATCAAGGTTCCAGAAATCCCAGTCTCGGGCCCACACACTGTCTCAGAGAAGCAGTGTCCCCATGCTCTGGACTGAGGATATTCACCTGGGTTTAGACCAGTGGTCTTCCACTCCAGATGAGCATCATAAACACCGTAGAACCAGGTGTTCTGTGTCAGTGGATCCGGTGATGGGTCCCTCTAAACGTTAAGGAGCCCCAGAGAGGACTCTGATACACAGCCAGGTCAGGCATCCCTTCTTGGTCAAAGCCCACATCTTTATCAAGACAGGGGCTCTCACTGTCTAATACTGTGTGACGCTGACGGCTCCAGCCATCTCTACTTGCTGCTCTTCCATTGCACCTCTCAAGTGGGTCACATGCACTCCTCTCGGACTCCTCCAGACACTGGCATGCTCCACTTTCACCTTCGGCTTAACCCTGTGTGGGAAACCCTGGGGTTCCTGGCTCTTTTGCCCCTCCTGTCACAGTGGCCACTTAAATCTCCCTCTTTTCTATCCCTTTTACCTCCATCTCCACAGTGCTTCACTCTGTGTAGGTGACTTACTTAATTCACCATGGAAACCGAAAGAATTAACGAGTCTGTAGGCTAGCCAGGCTCTCACATCTACACAAATCTAACTGGACACGTATCTACCTCTTCTCTGGCACATGGTCACTGAATCTCATCCCATCATGCTTGAGAGTTTAATCAATTGCTGCCCCCCCTCCTGTCGTCTCACCTCTCCTTTTCTGTACGTTTCTTCCAATTATGATGTTAACCATTAAAAGTAATAATGAACCATAACCAAACAAAAATACTCTTTTCCCTACTCACTTCCTTATTTCCTCTCCACCTCCCAATGCCAAACTTCCTAAAGGAGTTGTCAAACTTTACTTGTGCACGATACAACATCCAACATTGCTGTCCCTTTCATCAAGCTTGCTGCAAACCCCAAGGGCATGCCCAGTGTGCATCTTCTGTGGCACTTCCTCAGGACGTGACCCTTCAGATTATTCCTCTGGCTCCATTAGCTTTTGCAACTCTACATTCTTCTGGTTTCCTTTACTCTGCTCATCCTCGAGTCTGGACCTCTTCTTTTCTTTTCTTTTTTTTTTCAAAGATTTATTTACTTACTATGTGTAGTGTTCTGCCTGCATGTATGCCTACAGGCCAGAAGAGGGCACCAGATCTCATTACAGATAGTTGTGAGCTGCCATGTGATTGCTGGGAACTGAACTCAGGACCTCTGGAAGAACAGCCAGTGCTCTTAACCTCTGAGCCATCTCTCCAGCCCCTGGCCCTCTTTTCTTAATGTATATAGACATACTCTGGTCATTTTATCATTCCTGGTTGTTAGCACCTTGGTATCTTCTAGCCTTCATCACTAGTCTAGATCAATTTCCTGATACAACCATAGAGTATTGACTGTTACTCCCTCCCACAGTCTCTACAAAGACCAAGTCTCATGTCTACCCATATTCCTTTAGTCGAGTAAGACAAAGCAACCAGGTCTGCAAGTGGCCCTGCCTGTTTCCCTCACTCACCTAGTGTACACAGAGAATCATACACCAAGTCTATGACCTTACATCATCAACACCTCCAAACTGTAGCAAACACATCTTTGGTTGAAAGACTATCTGAAGTGTCTCAGTTTAATTACGGAAACCATTTTTTAAACTGCTCTCCTTTACATCAGGGCTTCTCAACCTTAGTAGAGTGCTATTTGGGGAGGGAGAGATTGTTATTGTGGAGGCTAGCCTGCATATTGTAGGACAGTTAGCATTCCTGACCTCTATCCACTAGGTGCCAATAGTCCCTATACCCCACCACAGGACAGTCAAAAATGTCTCCTCCTCATCAAATGTTCCTGGTGGGAAAAATCTTTAAATTTTTTCTTACAGTATTGCCTGGTGAATTATCATGCTAAACTAACTCTGTCTGTCTCTATCTCTTTCTCCTCCTCCTCCTCTTCTTCCTTCTCCTCCCTCCCCACCCCCCCCCAAGTTTTACATTCCTCTGCTCACTGTTTCAAAAAAAACAAACAACAATAAAACACAACCAGTTTGTCTTATACAGTGCTGCATGGAAGGCACATGCTAATGTTAATTTATGGTCTGGACAATCTGACTCAGAGCTATGAGGGAAGGCACACAATCAGCCAGAGGCACTATTTGCTCTGACACACTCACTTCTTGGCTAGGCTTCTAGTGCTACTCACCTATGTTCTTTTATTTGAAAGTCTCTGAATTTTCTGTGTTCCAATTTTTAGATAAATTTTGGCTCATGATGCCCCATGTCTAAGATGTCCTCCTCTCCCCAGCCCATGTCTAGTGTAAATAAGACCAGCTTTAGGAAGCTCTCCCCCGTACTCCCATGTCACTATGTGCACCGTGCTTTAGGGCAAGGGAGAGTTGGTGCTCTTACTTTGTGTCCCCATGATAACCCATGTTCACCCACACATCTCAGGTTAGCAGTGGCATGGCTCTACAGACCTATACACCATCAAATCCCAAGTAACTAGAATACTGTCTATCACAAAGTGGGGGCTAAGACTACTTGCTGGAAAGAGGAAGAAGGGAAGTAAGAACAGAATGTATAATATGTAGCAGAGTGAACTCATTCAGGGCCTGGCTATCCATATGATGAGTCACTGCTTCCATGTCAATGAGACCGGTGAGGCTACTTTAGTCCTGCAGGGAGATGTCAGAGTGACAGGCTGCCTATACCACAGCCTCAGTATTTTGCGCTGTGATGGCAGGTGTCTGTGGGTTGACATTACAGAAGAGTATAAATCAAGGAAAATTTCTAGTAAATTCTTAGTATAAAATTCTATAAGACACTGTGCAGTGGTGGTGCACACGTTTGATCCTAGCACTCGGGAGGCAGAGGCAGGTGGATGTCTGTGAGTTTGAGGCCAGCCTGGTCTACAGTGTGAGTTCCAGGACAGGCTCCAAAGCTACACACAGAACACCCCCTCCAAAAAAAAAGAAGCTACAGGACTCAGCACTATATTTGTATGCTTCTTTTGAGAGCTCTGAAGTATGAAGGAGATCAATATGAGCTGCAGTTCAGAGGCATAATTAAGAATAATAACAACAGGGGCTACACAGATGGCTCAGAGTTAAGAGCACTTGTTTTTGCAGAGAACCTGCTTCAGGCCCCAGAACCCACATGGCAGCTCACAACCACCTATAACCCCGGTTCCAGGGGACCTGACTCCCTCTTCTGACATCCATGGGCACTGGGCATATATGTGGTACACATATACACATGCAGGCAAAAACTCATACCCATCAAATAAATACATCTAATTTTTTAAAGAATAAATGTCACCAACTCACTTTAGAAAAACTAATTTAATCACTGAAAGAATAAAATCATAGGGAGCAGAGGCTTCTATCTTCCTCCAAACTGAATGAAAACCTTTAGGTAAACTCAGTGGATGTCAGAAATACAAGGCTTTTGGTCAAATACTCAAGACTATAAAAAGCACAAGCTGAAAGCCCACTGTTCTTATAATTTCTTACAAGGATATGTGGAACAAACTGAGGCCTAGAGATTTGGGACCATGGAGGCATTCCATATGCCGTTACTGTGATGCTTTGCTTTGACCGTGAACTTTCCACAACGTACAATCACCTGGGGATGGAGTTCACTGAGGAACAGTTTAGATTAGGTTGATCTGTGGGCATGCCCTCGAGGGATTTCCTTGATTAGGTTAATTGGAATGGCCCACTGTGGGTGGCACCATTCTCTATGCAAGTGAGTTTGTCTGAATGGAGGCTGAGCACAAGCACACATTCATTAATCCAAAATCAACTCTTCCTTATTTTTTTTAATCTTGTTTATTTTTATTTCATGTGCATGGTGTTTTTGCCTGCATGTATGTCTTATGAGGATGTCAGATGCCCTGAAACTGGAGTCATAGACAGTTGTGAGCTGTCATGTGGGTGCTGGGGATTGAACCTGAGTCCTCTGGAAGAACACCCAGAGCTCTTAACTGCTGAGTCATCTCCCTGGCCTCATCCCTTAAGCTGTTTTGGTCAGGATATTTTACCACAGCAACAGAAAACAATTACCAAAGGAAAGTCAGCCTAATTTTCAAGTACATGCAAATAAAATGGGGGATAGGCTGGGAATTCCTTTAAATACTTCCCAATAACAAAGCAACCTATCATGTGTGGTTAATCTTAGTCTGTCTTTGGTAAATGTTTATTTGATTGTTTTTTGAAACAGGGTCTCACCATATAGTAGTGCAAGCTGGCCTCAAACTTGCTCTGTAGCCCTTGGGCTCAGAGCCCTCCTGCCTTAGCTGTCTGTGTGCTGGGCTAGTGGCTATCAGCCTCCTCAACTGGCTTGTGCAGCAAACCTTGACAGATATTGGACAGGATCACTGGGCTTATTATGGCTGAATTCTACTTTTGTGTTGATTTGAAATTCTTCTGAATAAATCATTAAAAGCTTATAATGAAAATACCAGAAATCAAGTCTCATCTACAAATGTTTATTTAAAATATTACAGAGAACCACTTACTTAAAAGTATTATTTATTACAAAAATACAACATAACAGGTTAATTTGGGTAACAAATTAAGTTTTAGATATTATTTTTAGATTAAAGGCACACTCAGAAATCTAATAGTCATTTCTAACTTAGATTTAGTAATGAATAGAGATTTTTAAATCCATAGCATAAACTCCAAGTAAAGCAAGAAATTTAAAGGTAAATTGTAAATTGTTCTTTCAAACAAAGCAAGCAAAAGGCTACAAGAAGGATAGTGTTAACTGTTTGTTTATTTTTCAAGTCATATTTCCAGAGATTTCTATCATAATCTAAAGGGTTAAGGCAAGCAGCCATAGCAAAGCGAAGAGCTCCACTTCAACCAAGTTGTAAGTTTGGACCTAGTGAAGATGGAGTTTCTCTCACTGTGCTGACTGAATGTATTCCAGAGAAGACCTTGTCTACTCTCGAGGTTGGAGATGAGGCCTGAGAGGCCAGCATGGTTCTGGAGAGATGGCTCAGTAGTCAAGAGCACTTAATGCTATTGCAGGACCCACATAGTGGCTCACAACTGTTTGCAACTCCAGTACCAGGGGACAGAATGCTCTCTGACCTCCACAGACACCATGCATGCACATGGTGCACAGACACACACACAGGCAAAACAGTAATACACGTAAAGTAAAATAAATGTTTTAAAAGAAGAAGGGATGGCAAGAGAAGAACAGCTTGTCTTTGACTGAAAATGAACAAGCTAACCTCTATGTGTGGCCATCCCTACAATTCGGAAGAGTGAGACAAGGAGAACAGAGGGACAGGAAATCCACTTACCTGCAAAAGAACTCCCACAAGTCTAAGTTTTGAATCCTTTGAATCCTTTTAATTCGGTTCCGATCCATTGTTTTCCCAAAGAGACTGGCAACTTCATTATACTCATGCGTTTGGTTCTGCAGGGAGACCAGCTGGAAGAAGAGGGTCACAGAATTTAGCAGAGGCTTTCCCACCTACTGCCCAGCGACGGCCTGACCTGCAGTCCATCTGCTCCTACCTGGTAGGGAACTTCGGTATTCACATTCTCCCAGTGTGTTGGCATAGGGATGGCCTCATTTTCACAGATGTAACTTCAAACAGCAAAAGAGAGCAAAGTATCAGAAGCAGATCCTTTTCTCCACAGCTGAGTTTTCTGTTTGCAAGGTATTTATGACAAACACAATGAAGTTCGACCCTTCTCTTCACTTAGAAATATTTACCGAATGTCTACTTTCCTAATTTTTCAATGCTGAATTATAAACTTCGATAGGAATATACAAATATACCTAGCTTCAATACTTCAAAAACAGCTAATTCAATTTCTTTTTGTTCCAATTTCTATAAAATGTAAAGAATTTTTAGCCAAAGAAAAGGAATTTCTACGAAAAATAAAGCTGATTTTTAAAAAACCCAAAGCGTTTATTGATATTTGTATTGAATGAAATTGAAAATTCTGTCCTCTATGGCCTGACTCAGCCCTCCCTTCTCTGCCTACTATTTCCTTAGACAGTGCACCCTGACTTGCTTAGTGCAGACAGTCACTCTGGAGCAAATCTTTAAAAGCCTTATAATATGATCCAGCCACAGACACAAACACAGAGGCAATGGCAATGGGGGTTCCAGAGCAAAATGTGAAAACAGGCACACTAACCTTCCTTGGAAGTTAAAAGTTTAGTGGATGAAATTAACAGACTTAAAACCTATCCTTAGCTCACTTTTGTCAAATTAATAAAATTTGGGGGGATGTATATATTTTAAGTTTTTTTTACTTGTATATGTGTGTATCTGTGTACAACTCTGCTACACATGTGCAGGTGGCTGCAGAAGCCATCAGAGGGCATCCAATTCCCCGGAGCTGGAGTCACAGTCAGTTGTGAGCTGCCTGTATGGGTTCTAGAAACTTCTCAGGAAGGTCATCAAAGTACCAACAAGTACAGAGTGGGAACCTTTTCTCCTGCTCTAGTCATGTTCACTCCTTCTCCACTAGTCATTTCTAGACCCAAATATCCTTTAGAGCTTCCTCAGGTTCAGAAAGCCATGTTTTATTCAATACAAATGGCAGCACAAAGCACACATTTTCCTTAAGTTGTTTAGCTCATTTAATCAACTCTTACCATGATCTTTATCAATATATATGCAATATTCTCATTCCCAGGGTCAAGGGAATTCCAGCACATATCAGACACTCAGTTAACGCTCAATGAATGAATGCTTCCTTTGCACTCACACACACACACACACACCATTCATCTGTTCTGTGCATAATCAGGGGAAGCAAAAACTTAGGATGCAGGCCAGGCCCAGGGAATGGGGAGCTGAAGTGTTTCCACTGTGGAGTATCTTCCTTAGGTCTCCTTTGTCACTAGGGTTTGATGTGTCATCTAGGGAATGCCCAGTGGGGTGTGCGCTGGTGCAGGAACAAAGTGGGTGATTCCCTAGGATTTGGGGTCCAAACAACAGGAGAGCTTGGAGACAGAATCATAATTCATGTAGCCGCTTGCTTCAATTTCAGAATGCTGCTAAGAATAAATCTATTTGTTGCTTCATATGCCTGGTAATTTATTATAGAATGACATCTCTGAAGTGGGATTTCAGAGTCAAAGGATGCATTTATTGATGATTGTGGTGGATAATGTCCAAATGGAGACTTGAAACATTGTACTTATTAACCCTCCCACCAGAAATGTGAAGGGTATTGATCTTCCAGCAACCTCTCCAGAAAGGCATGTTCCTCCACTTTTGAATTTCAGTCAGTCTGCTAACAAAGGAGTCTGGCATAAATTTACATTTTTCTTCATCATGAGTGTGATTGTAGGAAAGTTCTAGCAGAACTTCAAATACTATAGGAATTATTATTTAAGTTAACCTCAACACCAAGTTATTTTTTGAAAGCTCTCCATTCCCCCACCCCCATGCTGTCTAATGCATCTTTCAGCTATGGGGGAAAGGTTTAAATAACTTGCATGGACCCAAGGCCTTGATAGAACACACATTCACCAGGCTTGTGAAGTGCTGTCCTGCAGTTAACCTTTCTGCATTGGCACCTAGCTTTCACACTAAACTCCTCCCCTTTCATTACTGCCTTACTTGCTGCCCTCTGCTGCCTACTCCCCCTGCCCCTGCTGTCTCTGCTGTACAGTTTGTATAGCCTGGGACAGAAGAAAATGTTTCTCCCAGCATGGAATTCTCACCTCACACAACTGTGAAACCCTTGCTGTTATTGTGTCTCACTCCCCGAGATTTGCACCTTAGAAGATAAGGAACTCCTGTATTCTATCGCTGGCACTGAGGAACACATACTGTATGTAGCAGGTAAGCACATACTCTCTGTGTCCCAAAGATGCAGGAAAGCCTTCTTATCTTTTGAATCATGATGTTAAAATAGAAGCCAAACATTTTGAGAAAGAAAACTGGAAGTATTTCTTTCCTTGCTAGTCCCTTCAATTCCTTTCTTTGTTCTTCTTTCTCAAGTGCTCCTTGGAAAGAGTGTGAGGGCATTCCTGACAAGTCACACACTACTGTTTTGTTTCCCAGTTGTATTTTAAGTTCTCTGAACAGAAAGAATGTGACATTCACTTAAGGAATCATTCCAGAAAATAGGAAATACACTCTTAAAATTTTTCACTTGTTTTCTATTCCCATGTGCAACAAATATTTGCCTCTGGAACTTAACAATTTTTTAAGTCTATATATGGCAAAGGGAACCAAAAAGAAAATATGCAACTTGGATCCAAGGACAACACAATGATGCCCATGGTAGAGCATCTTCCTGGATCCAGGGAGACGCACCACGCCCATGGTAGAGCATCATCCCCAGGCCTCTAGTCAATGTGGACTGGCATTATACATATCTAAGATTTGCCCAAAGGTGATCAACATCAATGCAGGGGCAAACAAAGTGAGCAGTTCTCTAGGATTTATGGTCAAATATGTGGAAAATTTTGTGAGAATATGTCCAGTTCAAATTCAAACTTAAGCTCAATAGGTCATTAAAAGAGTTTTAAATGAAAAACCACATGGCATCTTGTAGTTGTCATGCACTGGTCTAAGAACTGAAAAAAAATACATGTGGCAAAAGAAGAAAATGAAAGGAAACAATGGCAGAGGACAATGATTATTTTATCAGCAAATGAGAGGCTTAATATTGCAAAAATCACTCTTAGTCCATGAGATAAATGTGAGCCCCTGTGCTCCCCCATTTACAATACCTGAAGGCACTGATGGAGAAAGGAGCCCTCTTTATTAGGCGCTGTTTTCCAGTGACGAGGTTCATCTGCTTCATCTCTGAACACAAAGACAGACATAGCAGGTGAGCCACAGAAACACTGTGTTCCCAAGTGCCATGCAAATCAGTAGCCACAGTGCAGTGCATGGCGGTCTCATGGCTTTGGGAGGCGCTGGCAGCTGAGTAGTTATGATATTTCACCATTCATCTATTTCTCATATTCTAAAGGTGCCAGTTCAGGGGGCCGCTTCAGCGCTTGATCTAAGGCCCACACCAAGATGCTCATCGCATACCCTACTCCATATGCAGCCCACACCAAGATGCTCATCCACATACCCTACTCCATATGCAGGGTGCGCACTCCTGTGCGTCACACCTCAGTTAACCTGATACTAAAACACAGGAATTCTAAAGGCAGGAAAGTTAAGAGCATAGCACTACATCATACTAAACCTTCCATTGGATTTGTTACATAGAGAAATGCACTCTGGTTTCCCTAAGAATTTAGAAATTAGAAAGGGATACATTCCATATAACAGTTACACAACTCACACAATTTCAAAAATGTGTGTTTCTTTACTCTCTTTAAACTGTGCACCTAAACCATAGAAAACCTGGCCAGAGGCAACACATACAAAGGTCCCAGGCACAGGAGGCCATGTCTGGCTAGCATCTTCTGCCTGCACAGAGGCCTTGGCAGTTTTTACCAGGTCCTGCTTATCCTCCCAGTCAAGCAGTAACTCTTAACAAGTGCCACTGCATTTGTCAAATGTGTGCTCTGCCACTCCTGTATTCTCCTAGACAAAGCACACGGGGGCATTGCCGCCATTCAGGGAAAAGCAGGATCATCTCAGTACACAGCACAAAACCTGTGGAGTCATCTTCGCAGCTGTGTCCTTTTTGAGCTGACTTTCACATCTTTGGCAGAGAGAAACTGGACAGTGGCAGGATGACTGGGGTTAAAGAGCCTCGAAACAGTCTATGGAAATGCTTCGGCTGCACCTCAAAACAGCACCACATACTCATTTATTGCCACACACCCCTGCCACACTTTAGTAAAGATCTTTTTTCATTTTCTTTTCTTTCTTTCTTTTCTTTTTTTTTTTTTTGTTTTTTTGTTTTTTTGATACAGGGTCTCATGTAGGCAAGAATGGCCCGAACACTTTGTGTAGCTGAGACTGGCCTTGAATTTGTAATCCTCCTATCTCAACATCCTGGGTGTTGGGATTACAGGCATGCACCACCACACCTGGTTTATGCTGTGCTGGGGTTTCATGTATATTAGGCAAGCACTCTACCAAGAGAACTACACTCTGAGCATCTACAAAAACATTTTGGATTAACCTTTTTTTCCTCACAGGAATCTTCCAGAGAGTATAGTTCCCTCGTGAATATTCTTAGTCAGAAGTGACCTGCTGAATTACCTACCACACACTTTAACAAATGGTATTGCCTTTACAAAGCCTCAAGTCTGTGTCTGTTCTGCCTCCAAACTGTGATTGTATACACTAGCACAGAACATCAGTAACATCTGCCTCGCACTTTCTGCTGGGACAGAACATCAATGTCAGCATCCCTTACAGGAAGCCTGCTTTCCTAATGCTATTTTTTAAAGTCAGGATTAATTGGAAGAAAAAATAAAATTGTTTTCACATTTAACTTATTCATCTATTCTTTTAATCCTTCTTGATAACCAGCAATTAAAAGAAAGTCAAATTTTGTAGGATGGTATTTTTTAGCTATGTCTATACCGTCCTTGACAAACCCTTTATCACTCCTGGGAAAGCATTTCAGACTTACAATCCGTCCTCAGCACACCAGCACCACCACGGTCAGAAAGACACAACTCAGCAACTGGAGAGCAGCTAGAAGACCAAAGTGCAGAGTGACGAAATGAGTGGTTACTAAGAAGCTGCCCCCTTCAAGTCCCCTTTGCCTCAAGGTCATAAACAGTGGGTGAAGGCAGCCTGAAATTTACAGACTTAATCCAACCTTGTTTCACAACACACCGATAACATGACCCCACCCACACGGTGGGTGGAAATCCAAAGAGGTTCAGGTCTAATCTGAAGCTGATCTGCACATGAACTGGGCTCATCTATGAAAGAGCCAGTGAAATGAGGATGCGCAGAAGCAGCAATCATTGACAAGACAGCTGTCTAAGCAAACTACCAACAGGAAGGACATCTGGCTTCACTTTGGTCTTGAAACAACCACCAGCTACCAGTAACTTTCTTTTTTAATATCAGTTTGATATTTAAGATAAAAAGGTTCCCAATTCCAAGCAGTGTCCAAGGATGAGGCTTTGAGTAAAATAAGCACTGTAAGTTAGGCGCAGCAGTACAGGCCTGCAATCCCAACTGCTCCGGAGGCCAAGGCAGGAGAATTGTGAGTTCAAGACCAGCCCAGTAATACAGGGAGACCTCATTTCAAAAATCAAAACATGAAAACAAGAGCTATAAAGAGCTTTACATGAACTGGAAACACACGGCCAACACCACACATGTTAACATACATGAACACAGAAACATGCTTTATACACGGCAGTGCTGCTCTCTAACAGTTCAGTTTTACAGAGTGACCTGTCATAGAACAGGAGATTTACTTCATGCTTCAAGACATTGTGGCTAATCCTGAGCTGCAGACTGCACTGCGCAGACAGTCTAGGAATATTCTAGAAACACACAACTAGGAGGGGAAACATACCTGCAAAGTCTATCTTGTAGCTGAATTTGGAAGTGGTAAAGGAAATGGAGCCACAAGGGTTTGTTTTGAAGCTTTTTTCGATATCTTCACTGCTAACTGAACATTGAATGTTGGTATCCGGCTTTAAGACAAACCAGAAAGTTGCATTTACCAGCTGTTCACAGTAATTGGTTGGCCACAAAAGTGGAGCTGAGGACTGAAGGATCCCTACTCCTCCTGCTCTACCTTCCCCACACACAGGGAGCACAACCAAGTCTGCACGTGGAAAAGGATTAATGGCATCCAGGGGAAAAACAGCTACTGTTATGATGGTTTCTGCAACAGCCGTCTACATATTATCATGAGTTTCACAAATTATCAAATGATTATACTAAGTGGCTCAAAGTAAACCTTTTACCAGCCTGGTACCATACAACGGGAGAAAGAGAAAATCCCCAAACTACAAGTTCTTGTGTGGGGGTTCAAACCTCAGCTAAACTCTCTCTGCAAGTTGAACCAAGCAAGCGAGTGAACTTTCCTGAGTTCCCCATCCTTTGACAGAAGATGGAGCAATGCCATCTGCTTCAGAGCTGCTGTGAGGACACACAATACACATATAGCACCTAACATGACACCCAGAGCTCTTCCCTCCCGTTTCCACCAGAGCTAACCTGGACGTGCTTGTATGTGCCGGAGTTCATCACCCAGGTATGCTCCCTGTCTAAGCTCACCACTGCTTCTAAGAAGTTATTGTCGGGGAGGAAACAGACTTCTAGCTACTCTGGTTTCCATCAGGGCTGGATATTTCCAGTACTCCATGAGCATGATTCTATGCACCAGTGAGCCCTTGCCTGTAAAGCTCAGGGCAAGGTACCTGAAACATGTGCCACTTCCCACATTCCGCCAGGTAGAACCAGCCCCACTGCGTGTCCGATGTGTCCATGTCGTCCACATCATTCTCAGTCTTCTTAGGAAAGAACTCCTCTGTCTTGTGAAACATCTTCTGGAAAGCCAGTGAGAGGTGGAGGAGGAAATACCCATTAGTGACCAGTGTGCTTTCTATGGAACATTCTACTTTGCTACCAAGAAACAGAAGCCACAGTGACATCTGACACCTATCTGCAAACCGGCCCTGAAGAGAAGTAACCTAAAATGTTAGCACTGTTTAGCACATCAAGCTGACGATCCTCCTCAGTTGTTAAAGCCCATGCAGGACCAAGAAGTAATTCATCGTTGCCTTATGAATTTGTCAGGCATCCCTGCATCCCAAATACTTAAGACCAGATGCATCTATTTTTCTATTTCAAATAGTCATCTTATTTAATGGCATCATGAGACATTTCTAAAATATGAGCTGGGGCATAAAAAAGGCTATAAAAGTAAAGAATAATATAATAAAGTTTAGTTAAAATATATCAATACTTGCTTTCATAAACACATGGATATATGCATGAGTATGTACATGTCACAAGAAAGAAGTTTGAATAGATATGATAAGCTGTCATAGTGTTTTCTAAGCACCAACATGCTGGGAGTGTAATGACAGCAGTGACAACAATCTCTAACCTTATATGACTCTTACTATGTGTCAAGTGCTGGTCTAAGGACTATAGAAATAACATATTTAGGCTTAACAACAACCTATATGAGACAGGTACACCTGGTAAAAATTAGGAAACTGAAGCAGAGAGGTCCCACAATGAGGAAGCTAAGTTCAGGCAGACTGCACAGGGTCTGTACATGTAGGCACATGTTATACTGTTTTGTGCTTCATGATTAATGGGTTTTATAATGTTGACTAGAGCATTAACTCATGTGTACCTAATCTTTGAAAAAAATTGACATTATTGGGTGAAAATTGTGATGAAGACACCACAAAAAGTACCAAATGGCTGATCAAATGATTTAACTTCATTTGAAGTTTGACTTCCTATTATCATTCTCTAAAGGTTTTTTAAATTATTGATTTAAGCTGGGCATTGGTGGCACACGCCTTTAATCCCAGCACACCGGAGGCAGAGGCAGGCAGATCTCTGTGAGTTCGAGGCCAGCCTGGTCTACAGAGCGAGTTCCAGGACAGCCTCCAAAACAATACAGAGAAACGCTGTCTCAAAAAACCAAAAAAAAAAAAAAAAAAGTATTGATTTAAATTTGTATAGCTGTCTAGTCTATGGCCATATCACCCTGAACATGCCTATCTTCAAAGCTGAGAAGGGTCAGACCTAGTTAGTACTTGGATTGGCTACATCCCAGTCTAGACTACAACAACAAGCTCTGTAGCTTCTTATAAGGGATGTAGAAAAAACAAAACAAAGCACTTTCTGGGCAGAGAAGCTCATGCCTTTAGTGCTTGTACTCTGGAGGCAGAGGCAGGTAGCTTTCTGTGAATTCAAGGCCAGTCTGGTCTACACAGTAAGTTCCAGGACAACCATGGCTATAAAAAGAGACCCTGTCTCAAAAAACCTAAATAAATAAATTAATTAATTAATTAACTAATTAATTAAATTTGTGCAACTAACATATGACTTGCAAAAAGTCAGATTACTCACGCTGAAGGCTTGTCTGCCCATCACACTTTCATCCTTGACCTTCTCCTACCTTCCTTTTCTAGAATTGACCAATGCCATCACTTTACAATGTATCTCTCAGGGTGTGTGTGTGTGTGTGTGTGTGTGTGTGTGTGTGTGTGTTGTGTAGAATCTTATATATACATATCTACACTGGTGACATGCCAAACATATGATCCCCTATACCTTTGATTATTTTTAACAATGAATCTGTATTTCCCAATAAGCTGAAAATATTTTTATGCCACTATATAAAATGTAGAAGCTATGTAACCCAGGATGGCCACATTTCCCCCCCTCCCCGACAGAGCTGAAACTAAAGTTCCTTCCTCGCTGGGGGCTTAGGATTGAGTACCTGAGCTCCGTGAAAGGGCTAGTTCACTTTATTTTTTTAGTCGTGCCCAGCTACTTTCCAATGAATACTTTTCTGATTATGTCCTTGTTTTTACTCCTTCATGTTTTGCAAGTTGATTAGCTGCTGAGAAAACAAAACAAAACAGAAGCCTGGGATCAGGGCTCCAGGTTAGAATGCACTATTTACCTTCTGTGTCTTAACTGGATAATAAAGTCGATGGCTTAAAATGTAGTATCAACTGTGCTGTTAACTATCCCACACATCCACTTTCCTCTTCCAGCACTGGTCACACACCGTTTGGCCATTTCACTGTGAGAGAGCAAGAAAGAAAGCCAGGGGACCCAGGTTTAGTTTTTGTTTGGGAAATACCCCGAAAAACTGGAAAGACAAGCTTGAAACAAATACCTAAGATAATACTGGGCCATAGGCTCGGTATTTTCTCTATTAGAAAGGGTCAGGACAACAGAAAAGTTCCCTCCTATGACCATAGTGTGTGCTCTGCCCTTTGACTCTGTGCCTGAGCTGTCACTGGTGGCCAGTCTACAAGCCAGGCACCGCAGCCCATGATGTCCCAGCTACTGAGGCTCAGGCAGGACCATCACGAGTCCAGGATTTCAAGGCTAATCTGAGAAACACAATGAAACCTGAGGGAGAAGGAAGGAAGGGAAGAAGGAAGAAAGGGAGGAAGGGAGGAAGGAGAGAAGAATAAAAAAAGATGGGGGAGGGAAGGAAGGAGAGAGAAAGGGGTGGGAAGGAGGGAGGGAAGGGAAGGAGAGAGAAAGGGGTGGGAGGGAGGGAAGGGAGGGAGGGAGGGAAATTCCCTGCCATAAATAGCTTTGACTGAGCTTTGACTAGCTAGGCTAATTCTTGGTCACAATTCACATTATGTTTTCCTCCATAGCTTCATGTACAGGAGAGGAAAGTCATTTTACAATTAAAGTCAGACGTAAAACACAAAGCAGAAAATTATATGATTATTTTGTCTAGAACCACAGTGTACAGTACAGAGAAGATTAAAGAAGTCCTTGAGGCGTGCTGGGGTCCCATCTCCCTCCAGGTGTCCACTGACAGCCAGTCCTCATCTCCTTATGCCAAGCTTCACAGATGCAATGGCTTTCTTTCAAACAATTCATTTCATACCACAGAATCCATAGCATCTTCTATAGTGTGTTTCCTCCAAAAGGAATAGCTATTTGGTATAATTTGGTTCAAAGAGAAAACTGGCTTAGATAAAATGATTTAGGATGCTGTCACTACAGTAAGATGACTCTAGCTAGGACACATCTATAGGTGATCAAAAGAACACGTTCAAGTTACCCAACACAGAGGAGGTACTTAATGCAGCATGTTAGACCAGCTCCGCTACAATGCCACATTGGGCCTGCTTTTCCTCAACTGGGAGGAAGCTGTGCTTTCTGTGCAGGAGGCTGCAAAGGTGAAGCAGCCAGCATCAAGCGGCAGAGCATCCTTCTAGCTTTCAAATGTGCACACTGGCAGAGCCTGTCTCCAAGGCCATCCATACTAACGAAGGCCCGCAGTCACAGCACCTGGACACATCCCATCTGAACAATGCAAATGACAAGTAACAGAGAAGCCAAGTTCAAAATCAAATCCTGGTCCACATCCTGGAACACAGTGCTGCATTCCAGCCTTATCATTTCTAGTGAGTTACTTTATTAGCATAAACATTAGCATACTTGAGGAAGTCATACTTGGAGATGAAGATATCTTCGCCTCTCTACAAAGGAGAATCAGCACTGAGTCTCATAGCACACCTGAGTTCCCCCCACTTGTGGGGCTGAGGCAGGAAAAGGCAAGTTCAAGGCAAGCATGTATTAGGAGACACTGTCTCAAAACATATACATGTGTATGCACATACACAAAGTAACATTCTATTTACTTATTGTATTTGTGTGGACATGCGTGTGCTGCAGCACACAGAGGCCATGGCACATGAGTGGGGGTCATTAGAAAACTTATGGAAATCAGTTCTCTGCTTTCACCGTGTAAGTCCCAGGGATGGAACACATGTCATCAAGGGTGTGTGTGTGTGTGTGTGTGTGTGTGTGTGTGTGTGTGTGTGTACACACGTGTTTCCAGCAAATGATGGAATACACACAAGAAACTGACGGTCTTCCCTCCTGCCGGCTCTTCTGTGCACAACCAAAGATAGGGCTCTGCACCCACAGGCTGTGGAAAGGGCAGGCTGCTGGTACTTGTCATTCCCCTCAGTCCATGAGGCAGAAGCTCTATTCCAGAGAAGCAAGAAGACAAACTCCCTTCCCTACCCGGAAACTCCTACTTAAACCAGACAGCCTGAGATACTGGGTGCTGATCGCCACCAGTCCAAAATGCTCTCAGGGAGAAGTGTCATGCCAAGAGGACAGAGGCAGGAAGGAAAAGAGGGCTTCCACCCTGAGCTGTAGGTACAGTGACACATGGACTCTGTCCAAGGGCAAACAGACCCGAGGAGTGAAGTCCACATCTCTGCCTGAGGGAGCAGCTCTATCTGGAAAAGACAGCAGAGGACCCTGGGACTAAGGGAATTCTGAGAAAAGGCGGGCAGCTCCATGAGAAGCGAGGAAGGTGACGTGTGGACAAAGAGGAAGGGCAGAAGTGACAGCTGATACAGAGAAGAGGAGACAGCAGGGAAGAGCCCTCTGGGGTCATCACTACTGCAGATCAAAGGGCTGGTAACAGCTCTGGGCTTGCACCCACACGTGAGCAAACAGAGCAAGACACTGGGCAGCCCTGAAAATGCTCCTATGTGGCAGATATGCTGTCAACACAGGGAAGAAACATGAGGTAGGCAAAGGGCTTCAACATCACTGCTAATAAACACAGGAAGTGACTCTGATTCATGGGCAACAGCCATGAAGCAGGGTTGATTTTATTTTTAAACTATTTATCTATGTATTTAGTGTGTGCATATACACACATTTGTGTGCCTTGCATGCGTGTGCCATGGATCAGAGGACAACTTGAGAGTCACTTCTCTCCTTCCACCATGTGGACCCCAAGGGTCAAACTTAGGTTGTCAAGCTTGGCAGCAAGGATCTTTACCCACTGGCCATCTCACGGACCCCAAGAACTGATTTTATAAGCTAGCTTACAAGGAGTGTGTTTCATTATGCCAGTTCTATGATTAAATATACAGCTTGGTCACCCTCAGGAGTGTGGAAGACAATAAACTCATGATTAGACCCTCTCAGGAGTGATCCAAAAGGAAAGCCTCTGCCAGGCAGTGGTGGCGCATACCTGTAATCCACACTTGGGACGCAGAGGCAGGCGGGATCTCTGTGAGTTTGAGGCCAGCCTAGTTTACAAAGTAAATTCTAGGACAGCCAGAGCTGTTCCACAAAGAAACCCTGTCTTGAAAAACCAAGAGAAAAAAAAAAGGAAAACCTATTTCTGGATAAACATTAATATAGCACACCCCTCCCCCCCCAAAAAAACTAAGTCTCACTCAACTACAAACAGTAGCCTCTGAAGAGTTAAAATCTAGGAGATTCAGCATAACCTTCAACCAGTAACTTGTCAACCTAGAAGTGCTGCCTGAGCAGTTAGGACAAGAGGTGGAAACAGTGTGAACAAGGCTATTTTCGAACATTAAGTTGAGCAAAATACCCAAACCACACAGAGATGGAGCCCAAACCATGGCAGCCACCAGAAGAGGTCAGAATTAATACAATAAAATAGCATGGTATTATCTTGCCCATGATCCCATCACTTAGGTGGTAGAGGCAGGGGAATCACTGAGTTAAAGGCTAGCCCAGATTGTTTAAGGAGGTGCTGTCTTAAACAAATTAACTACTTTAATTGGATACCTAAGTTTCTACACACATACACAAAAAGGAATTATGAAACATGCAGCTCAAACAAGGGCGATTAGCAATGAAAGTGTCTAATCAAACAGAGATGGTGCCTAAGGAGAAGGTGACTACACATGGTTGTGATGTCTTTCGCCCTTGAGCCTAAGGCACAAAGTTTACAAATTCAAGGTCAACTGAGCTATGAAGCAAACTCTAGGTTAGCCTGGACTACAAAAAGAGGCTTTGTCTACTAGTTGATTAAAATGAAGGAAAAGAGAAAGTCATTCCTCTGGGAATTGCGCTTTCCAGAGTCATGTTCTCTCCCTTGTCTGGCATTCTAAATTCTAAAGAAAAGTCACACCTAAATGACTAAAACATTAATTCTTGGAACGCAATTCCCAATAAGGAATGGGCATCATTGCCTTGTTCTTGATCTTAGGGAGAAATGTTGAGATTCACTGAGGTGCACATCAGGAGCCACACAGGGCAGGTAGCACCTACCTCTAATTTCAGCAGGGATACCAGAAGTAGGAGGATTAGCTTGGAGCTAGCCTGAGCTACACAGCCAGATCTTGTTTTCAGATGTTCTCTGTGCATGGGAGGCATTCCTGCTTCAGGGTGAATGATGTTCTAGGACGCATAAGTTGTTGAAGTTGTAGATGTGTATTACACAACAACGATAGAGAATACCCTCAGCAAAGGGGGAAAAAGCAAAAAGCATAGGAGACAAAGTCCGGAGGAAATCATGTGCAAGTGTCACAGTGTCTCTTCCCAGAACATAGCACACAGCTGCTTCTAGAAAACACTGCAGCCAAAAGAGGGCACCTGAGCCGAGGGGGCAGGGTATCTACTGAGATTCACTGGCATCGACACACAGTGCCCATGTGACTGACCCCGAGGGAAAACAGACACTCCCCTGAACCACTGTAGACATACGTATCTGCACAAAGTGCTGTGACGAGGCTCAGGGCCTCCGCTGCGCACCTGTGCTGCTCTCAGGGCAGACATTTGCAAGGCTCACCCCCTGAAGTTCCAGGGTACGATGCAAACACGTTTGTAATCGCCTTACTGCACAGCGAGTTCCCTTCTTTTCTTTCAACTAAGATTTATTTGTTTATTTTATGTATTTGAGTGCTCTATCTGCATGTACAACTTTATGTCAGAAGAGGGCATCTGATCTCACTATAGATGGTTTGAGCCACCATGTGGGTTCTGGGAAAAGAACTCAGGACCTCTGGAAGAGCAGCCAGTGCTCTAACTGCTGAGTCATCTCTCCAGCCTTCGAGCTCCCTTCTATCACATATTGTCTATAGAGTTTTAGATAACCCCAAACCAAAACTTCAAGGCCCAAATACTCTTTTTTTGAAATAGGAACTCATTCAGTTCCGACTAGCTTCAAACTCACTATATTGTCAAGGACAACCTTGAACTTGTGATCCTCCTGCCTCCATCTCACCAGACCAAAGATTACAGGTTATGCAGTTTTGGAAACTCAGGGCCTTGTGCATGCCAGGGACATACTCTGACAGTGAGCTTCCCAGCCCCCAAATATTCCAATTTTTAATGCTGAGTTCAGGTTTTCCAACTCTATCCCAGTGTTACCCTTCCCCTACACTGAAGCAGTCAAGAAATGACTGAAGAACCCATTTGTTCCTATGCCTGAACCACATCTAGAACTGTTTAACTATGTAAAGTCATTTAATTTGACAACTGACAGAGCACTACAAAGAGTCTTCAGGGAAGACTCTAACCTGGTATCTCAAGCTGTGTTTGATCTTAGTCCAAAACACCTCATCCACACTTATGCCACAGGGCTTCCTAATTTAATAAAACCTCAGTGGGGAAAAAAAACTGAACCATTTGCATTTAAACTACATCTTGGGCTAACCAGAGTCAAGTTAGACATAGGCACTTCACAAGAGCCTGAAAAATGCCCTTTTCAATAACAAAAACATTAATCTGAAAAACTACTCTTTTATTATCTATAACGTAAAAATGCTAATCTAAACCAAACAGGATTGCACACGTGCAAACACAGTACTTGGGAGGCTGAAACAAGAAGACAGCCATGAGTCTGCGACCAGTCTGGGCCACAGAGATCCTTTCTCAAAACAAAAGCAAATGGCAATAATAACAGCACATACATACATAATGCTGTTATTTACAGGAGTGCAAAAAGTTTGCAGCACACTTTTCTCAGGATCTTGCCTACTCTTGTAATTTTAAGCGCTAATGCTCACATTTCAATTCCCAGTTCCCTTCCTGACTTTAGTACTTGATGCCCCACAGGCACATGAAACCTGACTCTGGTTGTAAGTTCAGGGTTTAGAAGGTTTAAGGACATAGCTCCTACTCAGTCTTGTGACTTGTGGTGGTAGCAGAAGACAATGACAGGAGAACCCACGAGAGCAAACAAGGAGAAGCAGAAAGGACAAGTGGAACTAGGCTTGGTTCTTTCTTGTAAGACCTCAAGGGGACTTCCCCATGCCCCCCCCCAGTGACCTAAGAGCCTCCTACTAAGCTCTACCTCTTAAAGATCCACTACATCCCAATAGCACTGAGGAACTGGGAAGCAGATTTCCTGATGGGCAGACATAGGGACCATGACTATGTAATAAAGATGGAGAACTTCCAAGATGGCAGCTTCTTCCTCATTCTTCTGACCTGAGACAAAAGCCAGGCAGCTTAAAACAAAGGTCTGATGGGCTTTTTCTCCCACCCAGAGGTCCAGGAAGATTGATTGGTTCAACAAGTTCTGTTGGCCAATCATGTCTTTCTTCAAAGCCTAAATTAGAGAAGAAAGACCCTTTAAGGACTTTAAAACACCCCAGCCCTAAAGGACAGACTTTGGTTTCCCAAGAACACCCTCTGCTTTGCAGGGGACCTTTCTCCCTGTGTGCTTGCTGCATGAATAAAGCCTTTCTTTAACACGGATTGCCTCTTCTCCTCTCTGCTGCCAGACTTCCCTTTGCTACCTGCTGAGCTTGAGGTTGCTCTTGCCTTCTAATTCTTTAACTGGCAGAGAAAATGAACTCAATCAATCCCTAGAAAGTAACAGCATCACCTTGGTGGGGGGATACAGTATGACCTCATCCAAATTATATTCACACATTAAACTTGGTGGATCCAAAAGAAAACTCCTGGGCTGAGGACACAGCTTAGTGGTAGAGCACTGGCCTAGCATGGTGAGCCTTGGGTTCAATTCCTAGCATCTGGCATCCATCATACAAAGTGTAGCTTGAGTCCCTCCATTTCCCTTTCTTTCTCCCACACCACACACCTAACAAACATTTTCTCCTGTACTTCTCAACCTGTTTCTTCAGAGCCTCATGGCTCCTCTCTGTTCATGTTCTGCTGCTGCTGGGAAAGCTTACTAGAATCTTAGTGGCTTAAAATAAGACTTCTCCAACGTTAGAAGCCAAGCCAACAACCTTGGTTGAAGTCCCTCCCTCACCACCAAAGCCAGGGCACTGTACCTCCTCGATGCTGCTTTCCTCCATGGCACAGTGCTTCTTTGTTCCCATCTTTAACTTGGAAGGCCCCTTGTGATTACATCAGGCTGCACCTGGAACATACAAGCTAAATCTCCCTATTTGTCCTAGTTTGGTTTCTGTTGCTTCAATAAACACCATGATCAAAAGCAATTTGGGGGGGAAAGGGTTTATTTTATCTTACAGCTGGCAGTCCATTATTGAAAAAAGGCAAGACAAGAATTTGCAAGGCAAAGCAGAAATTATGGAGGAACACTGTTTTACTGGTGTGTTCCCAGGCTCACATTCAATTACCTTTTTTTATACAGCCCAGGCCCACCAGCCTAGGGACAGCACTGTCCACAGTAGGCTGGATTCTCCTCAGATAGCAATCAAGAAAATGCCCCACAGACCAATCTGGTGGAGGAGATGCTTCAACGGAGGATCCCTCTTCCCGTATATGTCAAACTGATGACCAAGATTAGTTATCACACTGTCTTGAGGAAAACTGACTTAATTTTCTTTCAGCATTAAGTTAAAATTCCAATCATGTTCCACAGAGCCATGCATGGCCTGGCTTCCCCTTACCGGGCCTGCTTCCTGCTTCCGTGTTCCAGGCTCACAGACTTGCCTGGTTCTTAACTATCCTGTTCCAGTCACCCTTGAGGGCTTTGCTGGTGCTATCCCCATTGCCCTAACTCCTAGACAACCTTCATCAGGCTAGCTCTTGATCAGTCCTCAGTATCTCTAAAAGTCACCACATCATAAAGGGACCTCCGTGACTTCTCCACCTGCCCCCAAGTTCTTTCCACATTGTCATTCTTTCTCCTTCATTGTTTTCCCATAATTGGAGTTAGGGTTTATCTGTGTGATTATTTTTGTTAGGTCTGTCTTCTTCATTACACCCAAGAGCTCACAAGAGGCAAACCTGAAACTGGTTGCTGGATCAAAAGATAAACAAATGCCAACAAAGGTTATTTTAACAGCAGATTTCCTTTGTGGAATGTGACTGCATACATCAAAGATTTCAACGTTAGCATTTTAGGCCCAGTGGATCAGACTTAACCAGTAGGCCACTTATTGCTGCAAATCTCTAGCACAAATCCGAGTCTTCTACCTACAACCCAAATCGGACACCCTTCCTACAGTGAGAACTATTAGAATCTGCCACACCAGTCCCAAGGACAGACACAACACTTCCCTAGTCATGATCATGGACAGATCACTAGAAAAATGTTCTAGAAACATGGGTGTTAGTACTACATGGAAGTTCAGGGCTGTTTGCAATTAGGGAATTCTTCCTTGACTTCTGACTCCCACTGACTTTTCCACTCAATGAGTATCCTACATTCTAGAACCAGTCAGTGTTCTGGAACTAGATAATTCTAGATTTCAAGCATGGGTATGTACTTATTCAGAAATTTACTGAGTTTTGACTCTTAGAATAATGGCACATACAGATCAGGGTAATTACTTAGTAATTCTCACAAAACCAAAGTATTAGATAATCCAAGCACAAGCCTACTTAGCAAGGCACCAGCCACTCAGTGCCCTGTGTATGTGCTCTTCTGCTTTGTTCTGATCCAGGGCTTTTGTTTCCAAACAACTAGTTTGTTCTGAGTCTCAGACAAATTCAGGTCAACCTATAAGCTTAAGTAAACACCATGAGAACACTTACAAAGAACACGAAGAATACAGAGACAGCTATGTTATTTCTAGAATCCTAGGAGACCAAGTTACATCTTCATCCCAACCTGTGAGTATATGTGTACAATGTACTTTCTGACTCAGAAGAAATAGCCCACATGTCAGTTGCCAATGCCTAAACATCCCTCTGGTGGTTTGAATAAGAATGGCCTCCATACAGGCGCATATATTTGACTGCTAAGTCACCAGGGGATGGAACTGTTTCAAAGGATCAGACAGACTACGAGGTGTGGCCTTGCTGGAGTAGGTGTGGCCTTGTTAGAGGAAGTGTCTCTGGAGATGGACTTTGAAGTTTCTAAATCCCATACCAAGTCTCTCTCTGTCTGTCTGTCTGTCTGTCTGTCTGTCTGTCTGTCTGTCTGTCTCCCTCCCTCCCTCCCTCCCTCCCTCCCTCCCTCCCTCCCTCCCTCCTCTCTCTCTCTCTCTCTCTCTCTCTCTCTCTCTCTCTCTCTCTCTCTCTAAGTCCTCCTCCCTCCCTCTCTCTGCCTACAGATGGGGATGTAAAACTCTCAGCTACTGCTCCAGTGCCTGCCTGAATGCTGCCACGTTCCCCACCACGATAATGAAGTAAACTTTTGGAACTGTCAACAAGCCTCAATTAAATGCTTCCTTTTATAAGTTGCCTTGGTCATGCTGTCTCTTCACAGCAACAGAACAGTGCCTAAGACAGAAGTTGGTACTGGAGCCGGGGCACTGTTGTGAAAGGCATGGACATGCTGTCTGTCAGTGGAATGTGGATTTGGGGTCTGGATGAGGAAAGCAGCTGAATGCTTAAACCGAGGCTTAATGAGCCTTCTAGGAGATGCACTGAGGACAGTAGTGCTGAAAACAATGTGACCCAGCTCAAGAGGTTTCAAAGGGGAGAATATTAGTAAGTGGCCTAGAGGCCATTCGTGTGACATTTTGACAAAGCATGTAGCTGCTTCTGCCCTCATCTTAAAATCTGCCTGAGGCTAAACTGAAGAGTTTTGGATTAATGGTTTTGGCAGCAGAAATTTTAAGACAGCCTAGTAATGACTATGTTGTATGACTATTAGTGGTCACTCTTAGGCAGCTCTATTTTTTAAAAAAAGGAGCAAGATGGGCAAAGTAAAATACAAAATGTACAGTTTGAGGAGAAAAGGAGCAAGTTTTGTTGGAGCCAAGTCCAGTGTTCAAGGACGTAAAAAAAATAATAGAAAAAAGGGAGTGGTGACCTCAGGGCAAGACCCCACCCAGGTAAGATTGTACCTTGTGAAAAGGAGTTAAAGAAGATTAAGCAGGGAAGAACACCATCACCAACAGAAAACTGATGCAGATGTACCTGAAGGAGTAGGTCAAGTTCCAACCCCATTAAGCAGCAGAAGCTAGCAACTTCAGCCATGTGGCTCTGGCTTTAGAGTCAAGAATACAAATGGGTTGTGGAATCTCCCTTGTCAGCTAAAAGAAAGCTGCTGAGGCCTGGTGTGTGTCAGGGGTGTCCCTGAATGGAGGCCCAGAGAGGCCACTGAGTGAAGCTGTGAAGATGAAGCTTGGATTTCGCTGGAGACACCAACTTGTTGGATATGCCTAAGTCATGGGATACCTGCCAAGGAGACCTGCAGACAAGACAGGGTGTGGAACCAGTCCGAGACGGGAAAATGTAAAACAGTCAACAAAGCTCCTATGGGTACTTCTGAAGTTGGGCTGAATGCAGTTCTACTATGATATGACTATAAGTCTATGGGGGCCAGGAAGTGGAATGTGGTGGCTTGAGTATGGCACCCATAGGCTCATAGAGTTGACTGCTTAGTCACCAGTTTGAAAAGGTTAAGACTGATTAGGAGTTGTGGCCTTGTTGGAGGAAGTGTGTCACTGGGGGTGAGCTTTGAGGTTTCTAAAGCCCATGCTAGGTCACTCTCCATCTGCCTACAGGTCAGGATGTAAAATCTCAGCTACTGCTCCGGTGCCTGTCTGCATGCAACTGCCTTCCCAGCCATGACGATAATGAACTTAACCTCTGAAGCTGAAAGCAAGCTCCCAATTCAGGGCTTTCTTTCATAAGAGTTGCCTTGTCAATGTTGCCTCTTCACAGCAAGAATAGTGCCTAGGACAAGCCCTCCATCTTTCGTCTTGGAAGCACTTTCTCCATTTCTCTGTACTTGACATCCACTTTCCATTTCATAGGTTGAGTTATTTTGCTTGCTTTGGTCTTCTCATATGATTCCATCTATAAGGATTTACTCAAATGTAACTTATTTCAACAGGTTTTCCCTGCATCCCAGACACGGTCAGATACCACTTTCTTCCCACAACACACACTGCGTAAAGTGAGTGACCTCATGGGGCAGGCAGGCTCTGATTCAGTTCATGTTTGCACTCCTCTCTTCCAAGTATCAGAGCCATGTTTATTTAGTATGTAAGAAACATTTCCTGATGACTTGCTGGGTGAAATGAACTAATGACCAAGAGCTCAGTTTCATCAAAGGGGCAAGCAGTGAGAGGAGTTAAGACTAAAGATGACCCTTAGCAGCCATGTTCACAGGATAGCATGGAGCTTACCAAGAAAGGATGTGGTGAAGGAGGGAGAAAAAAAAATCAAAGGTGGGATGTTCCAGGAGGCCATGAGCTTAGCCCAGAATTATAACTGAAAACAAATCTCAGAAAAAGGCACGATGGCTCAGCCAGTAAAGGCGCTTGCTACCAAGACTGATAATCAGTGTTAGATCCCCAGAAGTCAGATACATGGTGGAGGGAGAGAAATGACTACCACAAGTTGTCCTCTGACATTTTATTGTGCCATGGTATGTGTATACATGCACACACAATAAACAAACAAATAAATAAAATGAAATAAAAAGGGGAATTAGAGGAAACTCGGTGAGCATATACTTCCATGAACAATGAAAGGGAAGGTTTGTGGGGAAATCTGGGATAATTCTTTATCCCTCCTTGTATATCTCATTTTGGGTTGTCACCCCTGGGTTCTAGGAAATATTACAAAATCTGTAGTAATTTTCCATACTCTAACCACTTCCTGCAGACTTTAAACACAGACAGGGAGACTGCTTCTGAGTGGATCCACACCAGGGTCAGTGTTAAGATGCCCTCAAAACATTCGTGAAACAGTTTTCACAAAGCAGCTATTTTATCTTAGGAGTAAGAGAAGGTATTATTTTCAGGCTAAGGCCTTAAGGACATGGAGATTATCAAAACTACAAGGGAAAATTAGACAAAATCAGTTCACCGTCATTTAACAAAACCTTCCCTCATTACAAAAAGCATTTGGTCAGGAATGCAAATGTTATCTGCACTGATATTTAAAGTACACTGTGGCTGGGGGTTTGCTTTACTTTTCTACTTCAATTTCAAATCTTCTCACATGTGTATGGCTTAGAGTGACAATTGTATTCCCTAGCAAAGCCGGACAAGCTTTGCAGATGCCCCTTCTGTCCAAAGAAACTCACAGGTTACTTGTGAAACCCATAAATGCAAAGTTGACTTACAATAAAAATGAAATGAAATAAAAACTAAGCTGTGGGGGCTGGAGAGATGGCTCCATGGTTAAGACCCTGGCTGTTCTTCCAGAGGACCAGGGCTCGATTCTCAGCACCCACATAGTAGTTAACTCCAGTTCCAGGGGATCCAATACCCTCCTCTGGAGGCACGGCATGGACGTGGTGCACCACTATACATGAAGTACACACAATATCTTTAAAAAATAAGCTGCGCTTGTTGACAACATTCAGGTGCTCACAATAGCACTCGGTCATGTGAGGATGGCACACGGGGCCAAAAACAGAGCCCAAGGCTCTGTGTTCATTATGATTAGCAAAAGTCAGCTTGCTTAGCAAAACTTAAGAAAAGTCTTACATCTGACTTCACAGAAAACTGGGCCCTTTTTTTTTTATAACAAAGAAACGGTGACATGACAAACATGAGGCATTCACTAGATCCTTTGTAATTCTCATCAAAGTACAAGTGGCCCAACAATACAGATGTAAGTGTGATCCTGAAGGAAAAATGAACAGGGCGAGCAGAGACCTCTTTGTGCATTACTGAGCCAGTCACTGTCAACTCGACAAGTGGCTGGACAGTGGCGGTGCATGCCGTTAATCCCAACAGAGGCAGACTTTCTGTGAGTTCAAGGCCAGTCTGATCTATGGATCAAGTTTCGGGACAGGCTACAAAGCTACACAGAGAAACCCTGTCTTGAAAAATGGAGGGAAAAAAAAGCAACAAGTATTTGTTATGCAACAGGATCTGTCCTCTAGTGAATATACTAGAATAAACATCACATTCACAGAGACAATTGAGAGGATTTATATATAGCATGTGACCTTCAACACGACATATACTCTGCTAAAGGGTGTTGTGGAAAATCAATAGGAAGGGGCTACTAATAAAAACCGACTCCATTTCCTTAGAGATGGATACAGATATAAAATGAAGATACATAAGTTAACAGTGAATGAACGTATGATCATCTGTAAGCAAGTTTTATCCCAATGCTAAATGTTTTGTTAAAATCATATCCAAACGAGTACCTTCCTCTGATCTGAACTGATTACAATATTATAATGTATGAATCAAAAACATCTGATAACTGTCATGATGGAATGGAATAAAATGAAATGGAACCATATGTGCACCCGAATCCCAATCAACGGGCTCATTTCTACTGGGTACGAACTTTTCATCGGGGAATTTTCTGACAGAAAATTTCATTCCAGAAGCAGGAAGAGCAGGAAAAGCGTTATTTCAAGCATAGACAGTCTACTAATTTCTTGAAATGGGATTCTGCCTGTTAACTCCGAAGGTCTAACTTCAGTGTGCATTTTTTCCTACTATACTCCCGTAACAAGAGCTAAATATTCTTGACAAATAGATGAATGAATGAATGAAGGCAAAGTAACCAAAAAAAAAAAAAAAAAAAAAAGCCTGCAGACATACTGAAGGCAAACAAAGTAGGATTATAGATCATTGTTCTAGCCACCGGGGGAAAACATCCTAGAACGTCATCCTCTGTACATAAAGAGGATCTTCAAACCTCTGTAGCTCCAGAAAAAGCAGAAGGTACGGGGCCGAATTAGCAGATTCGAAGGCCAGCAATTCCGATTAGAAAGCAGAACACAAAATTATACTGAAGGAAATAGCGAAGACAGAGAAGCCCCCGGAAGTAAAATTAACCATCGAGAAAGGCAAAGCAAAAGCGTGGAAGCGGCCACCAAACGTTGTCACGGCTCAAAGGCCCAGGCCCGCGGCCCACGGGAGGCCCGAGAGCCAGGACAGCCACGACCCCGGAACGCAAACCCTCAGCCCCAGGCACCACGGGGGCGAGTTCCCGGGAACGCCTCCCGCCCTTCTCAGGCAACCCCGCCCACTGGGCCCGCCCCATCCCACCGGCTACTCACCGGATTCGCTTCCCACGTAACGGTGCGAAATCGAGCGGAGAGAGCCTGAGGGAGGGGTTAGCCGCGGGGTCGGTATGGTGGGCTTTTGCCGAGGGTCCCCGGGAGCGGAGGGACCGAAAGGCACCTTTTTACGGAAGCCTTCCTCCTCCCCCTCCCCGTCACAAGCTGGCGTCTTCGGAACATCGAACCTCCCGACTTCCGCCTGGATCTAGCCAATCAGTGGTGGTCCCGCCCACCACAAAAGCTTGCTCCGCCCCCGAGGCGCCCTTCGGAAACTCCCCGCAGGTCGTCGCGGGCCGGGCTTTTCACCTGGGTGGGAGAGGAGTTTACATCCCGCCCTCCCGCCTCACCCGGTGACCCTCAAGCGTGGCAGGCTGTGTGACCGACGCCTGTTAACATCACCTCACACTGACCTAGTGGCCCAGAGCTAGGCCTGAGAAGCTCAGCTCGACCAGTGGCATCTGGGTCAAGCTTCAAACCTCTTTGTTTCCTTCCCCCTCCGAGTGGACGTGATGACAGGTCTACCACCTAAGGGTGTAGCGAGCCTGTTGACATCAAGTACATGCGCATTTGCAATGTAGGAAGAAAGCGTGAGTTATTGGCCAGGTGTCACCGGGCTTGGAAGTGAACACTGACCTATATGTTTTTGTCCCTGCCCTCATGGATTTTAGAAATGAGAGAAGAAAACAAAAAGTAATTTGGAAATGCAAGCCGATGTAACATGAAATTATAGACAACAAGGCAAGTACACGGGTCTCTGAGAACGTTTACCCAGAGTGTCTTGAAAGCTAAGGCCACCAGTAGGAACTTGCACTGAAGTCACCTGGGTAAAAAAAAAGAGCTAAGACAGATGAATTGGTGGGGGAGGGAGTTTGGGGGAGTTAATTACTATTTTTTCATTGATTTTACATCCCTACAGCAGCTTCCCCTTCGCCCTCCTCCTATGCCCTCCCGCATCTCCCCTCTGCTGCCCCTCCCCAATCTACCCCTCCTCTACCTCTGTTCAGAAAGGGGCAGGCCTCCCATGAGTGTCAAAAAAGCATGGCATATCAAGTTGAGGTAGGACTAAGTTCTTCTGCTTGTATTAAGGCTGGCAGGGCAACCCAGCACTAGGAACAAGTTCCCCAAAGTCAACCAAAGCCTTAGAGACAAGTTCCCCAAAGCCAACCAAAGCCTTAGGGACAGGCCCTGCTCCCACTGCCAGGAGTTCGACAAGCAGGCCAAGCCACACATAGGCAGAGGGCCTAGGCCTGTCCCATGCAGGTCTCCTAGCCGTTGGGCCATAGTCTGTGCGCTCCCATGAGCAGGCCAGTTGCTTCTGTGGGTTCCCTTGTGATGACTCTGACTCCCTGGCTCCTGCAATCCTTCCTCCTCCTCAACAGGAGTCCCTAGGGCTTGGCCCAGTGCTTAGCTAAGCATATCTGCTTCTGTTTTCATCAGTTACTGGACAAAGGCTTTCCTCGGTCTCTTTTTCATCATCCTTGATCAAATCCAGCTGGTCATCCCCCCATCTTCATTGTCATTGTCATCCAGCAGGTCACCCTCCTCTGCAGAGTCATCTGCGCCTGCCTCAGACTCCATCATGAAGATGGTCTCATCTTTGTTCACAGAGCACTGCTCTGCTCTTCCTCAGACTTTTCATTCTTCATCTCTGCTGGGGAGGAGAACGACAAGTCTCTTGTTTGCTTTGCTCCTTTTCAGTTTTTTCCAGGCTTTCCAGCACAGAATCCACTTTTTGCTTTATCTGAGTCAGCAGCTTCTTAATGGCCTGAAGGTCATCTCCTTTCAACTCTCCAGACCTGGATGAAGATCCCTGTTGTCCACTCTTTGAATTAAACCCACTTTTGCCCCTTTGAGAGGTGCTTCCGGAAACATGCTGGCGTTTAGAAGGCACCACAGCCCGAATAGGAGGAGGAGGAGGAGGAGGAAGAGGAGGAGGAGGAGGAGGAGGAGGAGGAGGAGGAGGAACAGGTGCTGCTGGGTAACTGTACATCCTGTCATAATAATCCCGTTGAAAGTCATAGTCCAAATGAGGATCTGAGTAGAGTGGATGGAAAAGGGTGTTCTGGTACTGACCTGCACATCTCCAAGACAGATCGTTCACTTCTACCTGCTTTTCCTCTGTTCCTTTTGCCTCTGCAGCCAGATTAATATCTAAAACCTGGCCAGCAATCATTCTCCCATCTTCTCCAGCTACAGCAGCCTGGGCATTTCTTTCATTAACATACTGGATGAAGGCAAAGCCCTTATGCACAGAGCAACCCACGATTTTGCCATCCTTTGAAAAGACTGCCTCCACACCACACCAGACTTCTTGACCACAAGAGTATTGAGATTCCCAGTGAATACATGGGAATTCATGGATGGAGCATCTGTCTTGTTGGTAACAATGCTAACCCTTTCCTTCAATGATAAGGTTTCTCACAAAGCTGAAAATGTAGCTGAAGACCAAAAACATCTCACAAGAGGAAAGAAAAGAGGCTGCCTCTCCCACCGCAGTTCCCTGCTGAGACTCCAGTGACAGCAGACCGATGCACAGGACCCTTGGCTCTCCGGCGCTCCACAAAATCCAGCCGAATGTTCTTAAAGGCATTTATCCATTAAACTCCTTGGAACTGATTCTTAGAAATAAAACTGTTCAATAAGAAATTAATGAAAAATATGTTGCCAAATGGTTAACTAGTTGTCCAAATATTTATTGCATAGCATAATATGTTCTTTACTCGCTGCTTTGAAGTTAAATTTGCATGCATATGCAAATATACATATATTTCTGAGTATTTTTATCAGCCTGCTAGCCATCTGCTTATTCCTGTTATGTCATGACATTATAATATATATATTCCTCATGTACTTGTTCTTTCATAAGGAACATCTAATTTTCTTTTGCAATCTTTTTTTTTTTTCAAATAGTGAGCTCTCATTCAGAACATACTATTTCCAGTATTTAGGTTATGTGTTGGTGGGGAGGTCGGGGTACTGAACCCAGAAGCTAAACACCTGCCCGACCACTGCATTACACCCCTAACTCTAGGATCTTTAAGTACATTTAGGATATTCTTAAAGAAATTTGCACAGTTCTTATGTGGGTTTTTTTGGATATTTTATAACTTTTTTCAAGTGCAGTAGTTTTCATTGGTATATTTTAGGAAAGCTGATGATTTTTGTAGATTTAGCATCTGTCATACCATCCTGAAAATGTCTTATTAGTTCTGTTACTTATCAGCCAATCTGTGAATTTTCTACATGCAATAATGTCATTTCCAAATTAGATGATATTCTAAACCCTCAGAAAACTTCAAAGATTATAGAATAATAGCAGTTGTATAGATTATAGATTGTAACATGAGTAAATAAATGACCCAGAGACTGATATTGGGGTTAAAACTTGAAGCTGAATATCAGAAAAGCAAAGCAGCTGGCCTCTAGCTTCCTACCTCTACCTCAGGCTGAATGGACTGATCCCGTCTCCACAAGCTCTCACCAAGCCTCAGACTAACTTTTCTTTAGTGTGGATGGAGAATGAATCTTTTCTGAGACATTGCTTCTGTCTTATATATCTCTCTAGTGCTGGGATTAAAGATGTGAGTTATAATTCTCTTTTAGACTAATTCAATCTTGTGTAGATCTGTATGGCCTTGAACTCAGAGAGATCCATCTATCTCTTAATCCTGAGTCCTAGGATTAAAGGTGTGTACCACCACCTCCTAGCTTCTGGCTGCTGGCATTAAAGGTGTGTGTCACCACTGCCTGATCTCTATAGCTTGAGGCTGATTTTGCTTTTCTGAATTCTCAGGTAAGCCTTAATAAATAGTAAATAATGTGTCACTATAATAGATAATAATCAGTTTTAATGTAATAAAACAAGAACAGGTCCCTGGCTGATGCTCAATACTTTAAATACACTATCATTTCTTAATCAGTTTCTTTCTAATCCATAGTTTACTACTACATAAAAGGATATGAAGTGCTATCAAATGTTACTTCTATTTTGTGGGGACACCAGACCTTGAGCAGAAACCCACTTCCCCTTCGGCCTGGGAGCAGGCATCTGTGTAATGTTTACTGAAAACAATTCAGTGCTTTAAAGCTCTTCATAGGGCTGAGATAAGGGCTTGCTCACTGAAATACCATGCCTTTCACACCTCCTATGGCTAGATGCCTCTTCCTGTTTCCCTGTGGTGTCTCCCCGATTCTGGGGCCAGAGATTAGACCACCAGCCAGGAGGAAAGAATGGTATGTAGATGAATGGCAGAAGTCCTTAAAGAGGGAAGCTCCTTTTTTCTTAGAGAGACTTCTCCTGAGAGCTCTCCTAAGCGGACTGGGGTCTCCTCCTAAGCTGACTTGGGAAGCATAAAGTTTTCTTAAAGCAATCGACCGGTCTCTGTGTCATCTATCCCGACCACCTCGCTACATTCTCGGATGCAGGCCGCACAGCAGGTGCGACACTATTTCACTGTAATATGTTTCAGTCTTGATCATCAATATAATGAATGACTTGAACAAACAGATTTACTAATCTCCAGTCCATCCTCACATTTCTAAAATAAACTCTACTTGTCATGGTATATTAGTTTTATGAGACTTTCGTAGTTTAATTTATCCTTTCTTTAGGATTAAAATTTATATTGGGTATGAAGGGACATGACTGTAATCTCAGCACTTGGACTTTGGGAGCATGGGGATGGAGAGCTTGAGCTAATAAAGAGAGCCTGAATGTCTTTCCTAAATTGTGACCGCAGAATAATACTAGCCCTGAAGAGTGAGCAATAGCAACTAAAGCAGCTTTGGAACTAGTCTTCTTAAATGCCAGAGTGTGATCTGGGTGGTGGTGGCTCACACATTTAATCCCAGCTCTCGGGAGGCAAAGCAGGTGGATCTCTGAATTCAAGGTCAGCCTAGACTACAGATCAAGATCCAGGACAGCTCCGGCTACACAGGAAACCTCTGTCTGGAAACCCCCACTCCCCCTCTCCCCAAAAAAGCCATAGTCTTTACAAAGCAACTTAACCAGGGAAGTTAGGACAGAGTCCTCAGTCTTTTGTGGGTTGGGGTTTTATACTTTACTTTCTTGAAGCCTTAGTGTTACCAGGGCTACTTACTGACAGAGGGGTGGGATGGGAGGGAACTTGACAAATGTTGCTGAATATAAGTATACTCTAAAATATGTTGTCACATCTGAAACTAAAAGAAAGAACACCAAAA